CTATGCGTTGCGGATCATTTTTGACAGTGTCTCAACTGCCAGGTTAAATAGAAAGGGGGAGTGGGGGTCGCCTTGACGCACCCCCTTGTGGCTTTGGAAATAGGGGCCTTTTTCATTATTCATTTTGACACTGACAGTGCCGTTGTAAAGAATTTTTTTAATCCAACCACACCAAGTTGTCCCAAAGCCTCAACCTCGATGACATTCCAATAGGAATTCCCAGTCGATCTTGTCATAGGCTTTTTCAAAGTCTAATTTCAGCACCACTCCGACTTTCTTTTTCTGGTGGGCGTGATGTAGAACTTCATGCAACGTAAGGATACCATCCATGATGTTCCTGTGTTTAATGAACGCGTTTTGATGTCTGCTAATCAGCTTGTCAGCAAAAAGCGCCACCCGGTTATCCAAAACCTTGGTGATAAGCTTATAAGGGCATCTTAGGAGACATATGGGGCGGTATTGCTGTATTTTCTTTGCCCCTTTCATCTTTGGAATAAGTGTAATCACCCCATAGTTCAGGCGGGCTATGTCAAGGTTGTTAGAATGGAAGGCTTTGAACAAACACATGATGTCACTCTTGACAAACTCCCAACAATGCATATAAAACTCTGCTGGAATGTTATCCGGCCCTGGTGCACGGTTACATCCCATCCCAAACAACGCTTTTCTCACTTCTTCTGTGAACTCGCTCGTGAGTAGGATATTATCCTCTTCATTGAGTTTTTCTTCTTCAGACCAGGTTTCAGGGGATAAATGGAACATATTGCCTCTGGCCGGACCAAACAGTTCCTTGAAATATGAGGTTGCGTGTTCTAGTAGGTTTTTCGTGCCCTCAATGTTCACCTCCCCCGCGGAGAACGAGTGAATAGTATTTTTTTCTCTTTCTACCATTAGCAATCTTGTGATAGAAAGCTGTGTTACTATCTCCTTTGAGCAGCCAACGCTCATTGGAATGTTGCAACCAAAACAGTTCTTCCATAACAAGGAGGTCATTTAATTCTGCATACAAGGAGGTCCTCTCTTCATAGTTTTCTGGATCGAGGGGGCCATTTTCTTCCAACCTCTCAATCTTCTCTAATTCTTCTTTGATGCATTTTTTTCTTTTTCTGGCATGCCCAAAAGAGTGAGCCCCCCATCCTTTGAAGTATTTCTTGATCCGTTTGAGTTTGGTATTCAAGATATCAATGGGATCCTCGGAATTCACATGTTGCTCCCGAATACTCTTAGCCTTGGCATAAAACTCTTCCTTCTTAAGCCAGCTTAGCTCAAATCTAAATTCCTGATTATGGGAAGGGCTAGTTTTCATAGGTTCTGTGACCAAAAGTAGTGGATTGTGATCCGAGGTATCTCTCACCAACTTACGAACAGATACCAAAGGGAATAGATCCTCCCATTTAGAGTTCATAAGAATTCTGTCTAGTTTCTCCAAGGTAGGGTGTTTCTGCTTATTGGACCAAGTGTACTTTCCCCCTCCCATATAAATCTCTCTTAAATTTAAGGATTGAATAACAGAATTAAATTTGTCTGTGTAATGGGAATGGGTCGTTTTTTTGTTTTTCTCCTCACTGTATGGTAAGATATTGAAATCACCGCCCACTATATAGGGGACATGGATCTGGGAACAAGTAGTATCTAGCTCATTTAAGAATTCATTTTTCCTATCATCCTGAGCTGCCCCATAGACTACTACGAGAGCCCAGACGCACTTTTTTTAATATCATATATGTTAGCTTGAATAAGGAAGCTTCCAAGTACCCAGGATATAATGTCAAGATTTTCTTTCTTGATACCACATAGGAGACCACCTGATTTGCCAATAGAAGGGGTCCAGTTCCAGATGTATCTATCCAAGGGGTCTACCTTTCTTAGGAATTTAGGAGAGAATTTTTTCTTCATAGTTTCTTGCAGACCTATAAAGTCCAGGGAATGATCTCTTATTAAATCAGAGAAGCAGGTAGTCATTCCTTTTTTTCCTGCTCCTATGCAATTCCAAAACATTCCATTCATTTAATCACATTGTTTTTCCCCTTTTGGTAATCCTACTAGGAGGCAGAGTAGGATTACCCTCTTTTTTCATTAAGGAAACACCATTTTTCTGACTCCTGGTCACAAGTTTGGATATCACCACATTAACTTTTCTATCCCTCTTCTTCCTGGATTTAACCATAATAAAATTCTCTTCCTCTACATCAGTTTTCACCCCACCTCAAATTCAAGGGGGTTTTGTCCCCTTTTGCATTAGTTAAGATCATAGGGATCTCCTCATTGTTATTATCTTCTTTTTTCTCCTCCCGAGGTTCATTGTTCCGACATTTTTCAAGTTCTCTCAGAACATCAATGCAGGTAAAGTCAGTATCAGGAATTTCAACACCCATTTTAACCGCCCTAAGAATCAACTCAGGGTTAGAGAGCGTTTCAAAAGAGTTTGGGCTGTTATGCGTACCTTCCATATTCCTCTTCTTCACCGCTACCACGGCCTTTTCCTCCCCCCTCTCCAGCTTGTTCTGCACATTACGCGAACTGAAGCGAAGGTTCTCTTCGGTGACTAGAGGGGGGGTAGGAATCACCTCATCTTCCACACCATCATCAGGCAATTCTACTCTGTAGCTGCTGCTTCCACCCAGCTTGTCTTGTTTGTATTCAGTCATCTCATTCACCTGTGTAGATGATCTCACGACATCAGAATAGGATTTTTGCCCATTGCTAGGCCAAAGAGTATCCGTTTTTCTTTCATTGTTAAGGATACTTACATTCTCCTCTCTCAGTTTCTGTTCTTGAGCCATAGTGTCGATTATCAGAGAAGTGTGCAAGGAGTCATCGGATTCCACACTCTCCTGCGACTCCCGAATGACGTCCTGCTTCTCTCCCTTGGACCTGGAAGGGGCCCTGCCCAGGCCCGGGAGAGAAACTGTTCATCATAGCTCCAGGAGCCGCCTGCTTATATCCCTCTTTTTCCACATTCTTATCAGGGCCCTGAGATATCTCAACTGTTTTTTCTCTCTGTTGGGATCTCTAGTCAGAACTTGCTCCACTTCATAGAAAAAATCATAAAAGTGCCCTCCTAAAACTGCCTCAGCCACAACAGGGATTTCATCAGTGTTTCTGCACCCCATTTTAACACGAACAGAGCTAGGACGGTGCAGAGTTGCACCATCAATCTCAAGAGGAACACCTACCAACGATGTAACATAAGCCATATTTCTTTCGCTTCTCTTATCCAGAGGGACATTACTGACTCTAACCCAGGCTACCTCCATGACTCCTTTGGCCCCCACAGCAGATGACCACTGTGTGGCATGAATCACAGCCCCACTTTTCTTAAGAGTGACTTTCCCCACATAACAGATTTGCGCTACTGCTCTGGGGTTAGGAAATCTCACAACAAAAACTCCAGGGCCAATAGCATGCGCCGAACAGCGCCAACCCGTAGCCAAGTAATCGCTAAGATCAAGCTCCATTTGACGAGTCGATGTTTCCCCTTCAATGATAGTAACTACAATATTATTGGCCCTCTCCTTCACCCGATTAGCAGTACAAGAATCATGTATGTAGTAGAAGCCCTGCCCTTTTGACTGGAAAGCACACATAGGGGCAATGCATTCCCACGGAAGGAATTTGACACAAACAGAAGCAAGGTGACCTAATTTGTTGCAGCGTTCACAGAAAGCTTGCGGGCATCGCGTAGGAGGATGCTCAGGGGACTTGCAAATGGGACAGAGATCAGGATTCTTGGTAGGGTGCACCTGGTTTTGCTTTCCATGAGGACGCTGCCGCGGAGGGGGGGCGTGTTGATCTGCACTGACGCCGCCTGAGCCCGACGACGCCTGCGCCTTCTGAACCCAGATCCCGCCGTCGTGGATCTCGCGGCGCCTCCCCGCAGCCTCCTCCCACCTGGATGTGTCATCCGACGCTGACGCGGCCTTGGACGAGTTGGAGTGGGAGTTGGTGTGCCTCCCGTCGTCGTCGCGCCGCCACGAGAACTTGCTCCTGTCGCCCCCGCGGCCGTTGCCGCGCCCAGGGATCCGACCCATTCCACGACCAGCTCTTCCTCCTCCCGTCGCCTCGTGCCGGTCTCCATGATAGCCGCGTCCCCCCTCCGTCGCCATGGGAGGGGAGGCGGCCACCGCAGCGAAGGATCTCAAGTCTCCCCCAACCTTGCCTCTCCACCACCCAAATGACTCTACTGTCCTGGATCTAGGGTTTCTCTCCGCCGCCCAGAAATGGGAGAATGAGATATCTAGGTCAAGCACGGGTCGGGGCGTGGGATTTATACCTCCATTGCGCGGCTGCGGGGGGGAGTGGAGGGTTGGATGTCTCCCCACGTGTCGCCCATCCGCCATTGACGGGCGGTTAGGAAAGCTCGGACCCGTCTCGGACCGAACCGCTCCCTTGGTCTGGTTTTTTTTGGGCTGAACCGCGTCAGGTGCCGCGGTGGATCTCAACGGCCGGTTCGCCGCCGGCAGCCGGTCGCGTACCCTAGCGAAGTGGCACGGGAAGGCCACGATATCACATAAAGCTCCCAATTACCACATGATTTATGTGGTAAGCAACCTCAAACCAAACAAAAACAAAGCTCCCAATTTTGTGATGTTTAAAAGAAAATTACGGAATAGTGTTACACGGACGGCACAAAGGCAGAAACTAAAACCAAGCGCCGCGGGGCTCTAGCCCGCGCTAGATTTACATCCAGACCCTCGAAGAAATAAAATAACCGCGTCGCAGAATAACCCTCTCCGTCGGCTTCCCTCCACATAACCTATCCGAAGTCGCAACTCGCAAACGCTACCAATTTCCCTCCCTTCCCTCGTTTTCTTCTCTCCTCGCGCTTTTTCCCCTTAACCCCTCGCACCGCCCCGCTCCCCGCCGCCGACCTCGCCGGAACCCTACCCAAGGAGCCCGCATCGGGGCGATCGCCGGAGATCCGACCAGGACCAGCCTCTCCACGCGCCGGGCTGGTGATCGCCGGACTCGGTGGTGCTGCGGCCCTCCTGTCGGAGACCATGTCGGGAGGTGGCCGGCCGCAGGCCGCGCAGCAGATCGTGCAATCGGTGCAGAAGTGCGTTCCGCTGGCCCCGGAGCGTCCGCCCTTCGCCGTCCCCGCCGAATACCACCGGTTCCCCTTGCCGCCGTCCTCCTCCGCCCCGGCAGCAGCGTCCCGGGGCAGCGCTGGCGGCGATGTCGAGGAGGGGATCGTCATCAGGATGCCCGTGAGTTGCCTCTTTGAGCCTACCCATGAACTTTACTGTACCATGTGCTTGTTTCTTGGAGGGATCTTCGTACGGATTTGGTGAGGTTTTGTGCACTTCGAGCTGTCATTTAGCGGAATATCGAACATGTTATACAGTTTATTGGCATGTTGATTTCGGTAGAATTGTCGGCAGCTTATTTCCATTCTCTGAATAATCTGGGGAAACATTGATGTTAAGCTTCCATCGCATTGGATAGTCTATCGATTTATCTGGTATCAATTGCAAATTGGAGTAATATTTTTCTAGAATACAAAGTGGAGTAATCTGTGTATGTAGTTCGCCGGTCCGCGGGGAGATTTGGGGTTTGGGGGCGATAGGTAATGTTTGGATGGCAAATGCCACATTCAGGTTGTTTTCCTTAATCCTTCCCAGCTGCTTGAGAGTTGCTTCTTGTCGGCTTGGGAGGGTACTAGAGTAGCATTTTTTTAGGAATACTAATAAAGTAGCATTTGATACTTTGTAGAATCGATTTAGATGTAAATTCGCTGTCGCCTCACTTTGTTGCAACTATGATTGGCAGTTCTCAGTTCTGGTGCTTCTGTCATGTTTCTTTTTCTGTGAATAGTCATGTTATTGCTAATTTAGTTATTATTACTGCAGTTCTCATGCCTGACGTGTATGTATCTGCAACATAGAAATTGCTGCTCATGTAGTAATTTGCATTGCACTTTGTTAGAGATATCTGTTTTCTTTGGATCACTGTGCTTGTTCCAGGTTAACGAGACAATGTTGCAGAAAAAACATGTTTGCGTATTTATGATGGTTACTTCCCCATAGTATAAAAAGATTTCATGATCTTTGTTATCTTGGACAGTGTACACGACTTTTCACATTGAAGCTCCGCAAATATAGTTGTGTTCTTTAGAGAGATTCTGAGTGTTTTGGTGAAGGAAATTGTCATTTGGGATTATTGGTAGCCATGATAGGATCACTGTTTGTGTAGTCATAGGTTCAATGCAGCTATAGCTTATACCTGACACTGGTGCTATCTGCTCTAGGTTTTCTTATATCTTTGTGTTGTGATCATGCGGATTGCTGTCCATTTTCATTGTTAGATTATACAGCATATAAACAAAATATTATCTGCCTACTAGACCCAGGAGGCATGTTGACTTACTCATGATACACTTACTGCATACATGAGAATTTGAGATCTGTTATTTGCATATGCCACTTAAGGCAATTTCTGATGTAAGATCACTGAATGATGCATTTTCTCCTTTTTGCAGCTAAAAAGAAAAGCTCCATGTGGAGAAAGTGATGCCATTGAGTCAACTGAATGGATGATAACCAGCCCTGGGTTTACTGAAGGAGTTAGCAGTCCACATATGACCCCTGTCTCTGGAAAAGCTGCTAGGACATACAAATCAAAGGCTAAAGGCAGCAAAGATGGACTGCAGACCCCTATATCAAATGCTGGCACGTAGAAACCTCTTGTTCTATACTACTGATTACATCAACATAGTTTTTTTTTCACAACTTATACTTTTATATCTGGATGTGTTTTTTCGCACTAATATTTGAATGCATGCACCTTTGTATTTTGCAGGTTCACCTGGTACTCCACTCACTCCTGGTTCTTCCCGCGCTGAACATTCATTAGGTTTGTCTTGTCTCATACGATCTCTAGTTTTTCTCACCTTACTGTTGGGATTCAGCTTATGGTGCATTTATATTTGGTTATATCGTCATGCTTGATATTAGCTTTTACTTTTTTTTTTCTGGGAATACCCAGCAGGAGTGCTGCCTATTCATTAAGTAGAAGAGAATTGCCTGGTTAGATATTAGGTTTTCTGACAGCTCTCTGTGTAATGTTTGTTCAGGGGAATTGACTAAAAAGTTCATCAGTTTGCTCAAGCAGGCTGAAGATGGCATTTTAGATTTGAATCATGTTGCAGAGATATTAGTGGTATAGATTTCTTCTCTTCTCATTAAAGCTAACATATATCTTGGTCCCTATTGATACAAGATTACCAATGGTTTCTAACAACAGGTTAAAAAAAGACGCATATACGACATTACAAATGTCCTTGAAGGAATTGGGCTGTTAGAAAAGAAGCTTAAGAACAGAATCCGTTGGAGGTAATCATTGTCTTCGTTCTAACTATTTATGCCTGTATTTATGGTGCGAAATGCTAAGCTCGCAACGCTGCAGGGGTTTGGATGACTCAGGAGCTAACTTAGACAATGAAATTTCAGTTTTGGAGGTACGTATTGCTGTAATTTTCTAGTTCTCGCAACCTTGAAATTGTCACAGTTTTGATAATTTCTTCTGAAGATAGAAACAGAAAACATTTTAATCTAAGCAGCCTTTTGTGTAACCTTGTCGCAGACAGAACTTGAAAATCTTAAACTCCAAGAAAAAGCATTGGATAATCGTATAAGGTTGGTAGCTACTGGAGGTTGCAAAATTATTGACTGTAATTTGTCTGGTACCTAAAGTAAATAGCTACATGATCTGAAAATAATTATACTTGCAGTGAAATGCATGAAAAGGTGAGGGAGTTAACTGAAGAAGAGAACAATCAGAGGTAAACTATATTCCTTCCATGTTTGGCTTTTGTACTTAATAGCATGCCACTTTCTAATCATGTGCTAATCTTTTTCTGGTATTTCTGCCTTTAGGTGGCTATACCTTACCGAGGATGACATCAAGGGATTGCCCTGCTTTCAGGTCCGTCTGTTTTACTGAGAAATGCAATATTGTTCATTTCCAAAGGTCACTTTATTGCTAATTGTTCAGACTTAGCTTAACAGACCAGCTATAATAATCTGTATGGAGATAATTTTGTTGCGATCTCATATGGTCTTTGTCGTTCTGCAGAATGAAACACTAATCGCGATAAAAGCACCTCATGGCACTACACTGGAAGTACCAGATCCTGATGAGGTAATGAAACAGTCAAAGTGATGAGTTATCCATCTACTTCATCTATTGTTTAATAATTATTACTAACTATTTTGCGACCTCTGTGAATCTGTTCCTTAATCAGGCTGGTGATTATGTCCAAAGGAGATACACAATCGTAATAAGGAGTACAATGGGTTCCATCGATCTTTACCTGGTTAGGTAATGTGTCAGTCTTCTCTTTGAGGCTTATGCATTAAACGGTAGATTGTCTTATTAACATTCTCATTATATTTTTAGTAAATTTGAGGAAAACATGGAAGAGCTGGTTGGTGTCACAACGCCTCCAAGGCATGCAAATGTGGCCGAACCTGCCTCCACAGACGGATTCATAGCAACAGAAGCTGGACAAAGCAGCAGATCAAAGGACAAGTTGCCGAATATTCAGCATATCCACAAAACTCCAGATCTAAATGCTCAAAACTTTGGCGGGATGGCAAAGATAACTCCAGAATTTGATGTAAGTTCCTTCTAAAAAAATGTTGATGCAAGTCGATATGAACTTTACGTTCTGTATAAATAAACTATTATGGAAGGTAAAAAAAATAATCATATCATTGAACTGAAAAGTACACCGGACTCTGATTTTTTCCCTTCATAACTTCTTTGTCCATGACATCTGTGAACGTCAACTCACATTAGTTGCATATATATTCTTGGACTCTTGATCTTTGTACTATCCAGTCACCTTTCTGGTAGCAATAACAATCTATTTTTAGCTTTCTATTGTTTTTCATCTTGTATTGATATGATATCCAGACTCTCAAAGACCCAGTGGCTCATGCTTGTACACACTTTTGCAGGTTGATGCTGACTACTACCTTCTCACTGACGGTGATGCCAGCAGCATTACAGATATGTGGAGAACAGCACGTATCCTTTAAGAAATGAATTCACCGTGATGTTGTTTAAAAAGGCACAACCCGACCTCAACTTTGAAGTACTTGACTAATGAACAGCAGAAGTGCAGTGGGATCAGTTCTTAGCTGAAGAGGCAACCGCCCCTCGCACACCCCAGCAACAGCCAGCAGTTGTCAGCAAATCTACAGCTGTAGGCCCAACCTGTGGATAGAGAACAAGATGATGATTAGGACATTCTGGAACAAGAGAGTTCGTTTCTTGGGGATGGTAAATGTTCTTCCTGGGACTCTTTGGAAGCTGGTGATTTCTACCAAATTTTGCGTCCTTTCTGGCAGTGGCCTGGCGATGTGTGTTCAGTAACTTATTGCTTTGCCGTGCCTCAATGGTTTCACCTCCTCCTTCCAGTCAGCGTATGTACATTGAGTCGCTAGTATTTTGTGTCTTCAATCTGCCGCTTGAGCTTATCAGGTGATTTTCTCCAACTGGATTCCCCTGATAAGGTCAGTCTGGGCGCCTGCTTCTTCCTCTGCAAAAACCTGTAAATATTCTGGCAGGCGTGTACAAAGTACAATGGATAACTTATACCATTATACTAGGGCATATGTCGAGCAAACTGTGCAAATTCCATGCAGAAGAGTTTATAGGCCATTTCCCAAGCATTGACGATTTCTGGACTCACCATTCATTGTTATCATTACTAGCTAAAATTCGATATATTCCCAGTTACTAATACTAGTTTGTCTCTGATACATTGGGATTACTATCCTGTTTTACAAGAGCAGCAGCAAACATACAAAACAAGTAGGCAAAATCGTACTTTAGCCAGATTTCATTTACACTACTAGAACATCTAAGCTGGGCGTGATGCATAGACTACCAGCAAGCGCACATCGATCGAAGTGCCTATGCTTCACTGCTGCATCAGTGGAGTCAGTCGCCTCCCTTGGTGATCTTCCCTATCCAGTTGGCCACCACCGGCGTGAGCGCCACAGTCGGCGGGAACCTTATCGGCGACGCCGCCTTATGCGCGGCGTAGGCCAGCGCGAATGTCCCCACCTTCCCTCCGGTCTCGTCCGTGGCTATCCCAATCTGCAGCATTTATGTTAGAACAAAGCACAAACCCCGTCTGTGATTAAGAAGTTTGTGACCAGCTCGAGTCGAAAAGTAGCTCTGACCTTGCCGAGCAGCTGCTGGACGTCGACGCCGGCGTTGATGAGGAGGTAGCAGGCGGTGAAGGAGATGAGCGAGAGCGTGATCGAGGTGGCCAGGTACGCTCCGCCGTACTTGCCCAGGAGCTCCTTGGCCTGCTCCGTTCTCGACTTCCTCGGCTTCCCCTCCAACCCTTCCTCGCCTCCTTCCTCCTCCTTGGAGCTAAATATCTGAAGCAAGCAAACACGTCAGACGTCACACGATTCAGTTCACGTGTGCTTGCAAATTTCACTTCATGTATACGTATACTAGTAGGCTGCAGTGGCGTGCGTGCTTACCTTCCAGAGGCCGACCTCGAGGCCGTACTTCTCGGTGATCTCCTCGGCCGTCTTGGCGTCCTCCTCCTTGGTTTCCGGCACGGCGGAGAGCGGCCGGCGCGGCTGCCGGAGAGGCCGAGCGGCGAGGAAGCCGGGCGGGAGCTGCCTCTTGGGCTGCAGCAACTGCTGGCTGCGGTGGAGGTACCTGGCCGTGGCCGTGGGCGCGGCGTGGTTGGCAAGGGGGAGAGCTGGTGCGGCCATGGATGGAGCACGGACGATTGGATGGAGTGGAAACAGCAGAGGCTGCAGAGCGAAGACCGCCGAAGGAGCGGGTGGGGACGCGGGGGCAGGAAGAGATAGGAATCGGGGCCGCCAGGTGGTACAATGTTACTGGGTGTTGTGCACGATGGACGGCTGGGATCGATGCGGGCTTGGGCTGCTGTGCTGATGCAAACGTGAGGTGGAGGCAGGTGACAAGTAGCCATCGCTGTGCCATTGAGTATGTACGGACTGCGTGTAGCACAGTGTGTTGACACGTCGCCAAAGCGTTCAGGCGCAGGGCCAATATCTCATTGCTTTTACACTTTTGTTGCTAGTAGTATGTAGTATTTCTCTTTAGTGATCTATAAACGTTCTTATATTTTTTTTACAGATGTAGTATAATATATTTCCTTATTCAAATTTGTCGAATGATTTCATACACAGGAGTAAGCCTTGATCAGCGTGACAGTGTTTCAGCTTCTACCTTTGCTAGCGGATACCCGCACGTTACCATTGGGATTATAGGAATTTGTATACACACAGAATCATCAGCCTTATTTAATCCCACAAAAAGAAAAGAATCTATGGTCTTTTTTGAACACTCCATACAATGTACTGGTGTCTGCATACGGAGACACGAACTTACTAGCCTTATTTAACCGCTTTGGTGCTGGTAAACCGTCGATCAGTCCTTCAGCTGCAGGCTGGGCATGGTGTAGTCTGCAAAACAAAGAAAAATGACACGTGATTACTCGCCCAACGCGTCGTCGACCGTTTCATAATCCAACGAATTCCTAGGCGAAGAACCACGCGAGCGATGAATCAAACAGCGCGTAACGTACCGCCGCACTTGTAGCCGATGGGGCGGTCGGCCAGGTCGCAGCGCTTGGGGATGGTGATGGCCACCTCCGGCTTGACCCCGACCCGGCGCACGATCTTGGAGAGCAGCACCGCGCAGAGGCACGCGGGGCTGCTCTCCCCGATCTCCTGCACCGCCGCGCAGCAGCGGTCCGAGGGCTGGGAGTCCGGGTCCTTCCCCGCCGCTATGCACGGCATCAGCTTCAGGGCCTCCTGCTCCGGGGGGGTGGCGCCGCACTCGTCCGTGCCCCCCGCGAGCCGCGGCGCGGCGGCGAGGACGGCGGCCAGGACCAGCGCGGCCGCGGACACCGAGACCAGGGATCTCATTGTTGTGCTCGTGGTGGTTTACGCTCCCTTTGCTCGGCTCTTGTGTGCGCGCGATGTCGTGGCTAAATGGCGGCATAGCTTCTGCTTATACATACAGTGTCCATGGTTTTTTTTTTTGCTATGTACAGTGTCCATGGATTGCCGACCATGTAAGGAGCACGAACCTCGTGATGGGCGCAGCAGTCCCACTGTCAGATTCACCATCCGTCAGGATTGTCCTCTACGTTAAGAAGCACATGCATAGCACACCGGAGGGAACAAGATACGTGTGCGGCCCCGTCCTTTTTTTCTTCTCATGATAAATGTGTGCACAACTTCCTTCGTAGCGTGCGGCAATCTATCGTACATGCACGACATTTGTGATGGCATGAAGGGTTGATACTACGGCTTGTGAACGCAGAACCATTAGTGATGGCAACCAATTAGAGTTCCCTTTTAGAAACGCCAACTACTCTTTTTTTTTTGAGGGTACGCCAAAGGCGTACCATAGCTTTATAGAAGGGAGAAAAATATTTACAAGAGTTTTACAAATGCGCTAGTTGGAGATCACAAACCGACCCCAACCAAGCCTCCACCCCACTCCTAATGCTACTCTATTACTCAGGTATCGATCGTCCTCCAAATGCTCCTGCCGTAGCCCAGGTCCTCAAATCGTCGAAGATCAAGTCCACGGTCTCCCATTCGTTCTTGATTTGGCTCGATCCGAATACTCTCGCGTTCCTCTGCTTCCAAAGTGTCCAGCAGATGAGCATCACGAATGTGTCAAATCCTTTCCGCGTTTGCTTATGTATGCGTTTCCTAGCTTCCGTCCACCATTGCACCAAGCGAGACTCGTATGTTGGGCAAAGCTCCATTCTCAATCCCATCCTGGTCATGCATCTGTACCACACTTGCCTTGAGAACACACATTGCTGCAAGATGTGGTCGACCGTGTCTTCCTCTTGGTCGCAGAAGTAGCATTTTGATGTTTGGTCTTGCAAACCGTGTCTCGCCCTTCTATCCGACGTCCACAATCGGTATTGCACTGCCAACCACATGAAGATTTTACACGCAAGTGGCGCCCAACATTTCCAGATTGCTCCGAAAGAGTGGAATCTAACTCCTCCCTCACAAAGCATCTTGTATGCGGAAGATGTGGTGTAGACTCCTGGCACATTCCAAGCCCAAATGGGGCTATCCTCAGTTTGAGCATCCAATTGAACCTCCGATATGATCTCCCAAAGCCCGATGAACTGGGTAAGACCCTCCGTGCATAGGTCACCCACCACGTCGTTCATCCAAGCATGCATGTGTATCGCATCACGTACCAGCCTCTTGTTTGCTACCTGCGTACGGACTGTGGCCACAACCAAGGGGGCTAGCTCAGCGATGGTTGCACCATGAAGCCACCGATCTTTCCAAAACCAGATTTTGTCTCCCGCTCCGACCTTCCATTTAACCAGGCTCCCAAAAGCTTGGGCCACCTTCTTATCCGCGGTCAAGTTGAGCCCTTGCCAAGGCCTGGAAGCATCTGTGCGTCTAAGCCATTCCCATCGTAATCTTAAAGCAATGTCGTGCTTAGATAAGTCAATAACGCCCAATCCACCCAAGTGTTTTGGCCTGCATACCCTTGCCCAGGATACCACACACTTGCCACCATTCACCTCCTCCGTCCTGGCCCAGAAAAAAGCCCGGCAACCTCTGTCCACCCTTTCCAAAGCCCATTTTGGCGCCTCCGCAACCATAAGGTGGTGTGTGGCCCGCGCCCTCATGACTTGGTTGACGAGGATAAGCCTCCCAGGTCTAGTCACCAAGCCCCTTTGCCATCCTGGCAATATGCGAAGGGCCGCATCCACAATCGGCTGCCACTCGGATCTCTTAAGTTGTTTGATGCTTAACTGGAGACCCAGGTACTTGCATGGAAATGTGGTGATCTTCCAAGGTAGTACCGACTTGACAAGCTCTTCATCCTCCATGTCAGCTCGGATCATGATTGCCGCTGATTTGGCGAAGTTTACTTTAAGCCCCGATGCCACTCCAAAGATTGTGAGGGTTTCCTTAACGAACAGGAGATCTAGCCATGTTGGTTTGATGAATAGTACTACGTCATCCGCGTACAGAGACAGGTGCTGCATCGGGCTACATCCATTGATCGTGCTCATCACACGAGCCTCATGCGCCTTGATGATAATTGTCGTAAGAACATCCATGGCAATAACGAAAAGCAGAGGGGAAATCGAGTCCCCTTGCCTCAAACCTTTAGCGTGCATGAACTTGTTGCCAGCGCATCCGTTTACTAGCACTCTTGAGCTGGCAGTGGTAAGCAGAATTGCGATCCATGAAATCCAACGTCCCGAGAAACCTTTAGCTCTTAGTACTTCAAACAAAAACGGCCAAGCCAGGGAGTCAAAAGCTTTTGTAATGTCAAGCTTGAGCAGTACTCCTTTCGCTTTCCTTCGGTGCATCGAGCGCGCCATTTGCCTCACTAGCAAAAAATTATCATGCAAGCATCTCCCCTTGATGAAGGCAGACTGGTTCGCCTGGACCAGCTCTCCCATGCGCGGTCTGAGCCTTGCTGTCAGAAGTTTGGATGCAATCTTGGGCATGCTATGCACAAGGCATATAGGTCTGAAGTCGAATACCGTGGAAGCTTCTGGAGACTTTGGCAGAAGAGTGATCAAAGCTTGGTTTAACCTCCCAAAACCCCTTCCGTTACCAACAAAAAGCTTGTGAATCGCGTCAATGAGATCCACCTTGATTACGTCCCAAGCTTTCTGAAAGAACAATCCAATGAACCCGTCCGGTCCAGGTGCCTTGTCCGAGGGCATGTCCTTAATAACAGCCCAGATCTCGTCCTCAGTAAACACTCTGTCCTGCTCAGAGAGATCTATGTGATCGACTCCTAATCCCTCCAAGTCCAGGGTGAAATCTCGTGCCACATCCTTGCCCAACAGCTCTTTGTAAGCATTGTAGAAGGCTTCCTCCTTTCCTTTCTGATCTGTGATAATACGACCGTCCATATGCAGAGAGGGGATGTAATTCTTCATACATCTCCCATTCGCCACCAAGTGAAACAACTGCGTGTTCGCATCCCCCTCTTGTAGCCATGTTATCCTCGACCTTTGCCTAGCAATGGTCCTTTCTAGGGAGGCCAACCCTAGCACAAGCTGCTTAAGGGTTCTTCTAAGACATCGCTCCTCCTCCGTAAGCCTCCGATTCTCCTGAGCATAGTCGAACCGCATGATGACAATATTTGCGATGGCTATTTGCAGCTTGATATTTCCTATCTCCTTTTGACCCCATGTGGCAAGAGCTCTAGCTGTGTTACGAAGCAAGATATCAAGCCGCAAGAAAGGATCGGTGATATTCGGATCACATGTCCACGCCTCTTTGACTACATCAAGAAAACCCTCCATTTTGACCCAAAACTTCTCAAAGCGGAACCTCCTCCTAATGTGCATGGACTCTTGAAGCGTGAGGTATAGAGGGCAATGATCCGAGTACTCGGTGGATAAAGCTTGAAGCAGGCACTCCGGGTGCTCGATCTCCCAGTCGACGGATACGAACGCACGATCGATCTTAGTGAGGGTGGGTGTCTCCCTTTCATTGCTCCAAGTGAATTTACGCCCATGCAAGAAAAGCTCCTTAAGCGCGTTCATGTCGACAAAATGTTTGAACTTCCCCATCATTCTCCGATCCAAGTTGGAATTGTTCTTGTCAGCCGCGTAGAGAATAAGGTTGAAGTCACCAATGACAAGCCACGGCCCGGGACTAAGCGATCTCCTCTCCGATAGCTCATTCAGGAAGCTAATCTTTTGATCGTCCTCCTGTGGCCCATATACTACTGTTAACCACCATGGTGTCCCCTAAATAGGCGAGACATACATAGTAATGCAATGAGAGTCATTGACGTAGTTCGTCAACCGAACCCTCGTGGTGTCCCAAGCCACGAAAATACCTCCTCTAGTCTCCGACGCCGGTAAGTAAGTGAAACCATCATAATTAGGTCCCATGCATTGCAAGATTACATACTTGTCCACCACTTCTAACTTAGTTTCTAAAATACAAACGATCGCCGCATGGACAGACTCCACGAACCCTCTAAGAGCCTTCCTCTTGGCTGGATTGTTAAGACCTCTAACATTCCAGCACACTAACTCCAAGGCGTTGCACGACATCAGGCAATGATGACTCCAACACCATGGCTGCCGACGCCTTACTGCGCCAAAAGGGGTTCAGCCCTCCCAGTCTCCCCCGCTAGGTTTAGCGGTATTGCCTTCCCGAAGATGGCCGCTATAGCCCTCAACTGCGGCTCCTGTAACGGCGAGTCAAAGACCGTATGTAGCTGACCTAGCGCGTCCTTGGATACCGCCAGATCGTCGCAGTCAAACCCCAGGGTTTTCAGCAACACCGTTTCCGCAGCCGATGCCTTCGTCTTCCTGGCTCCACCAGAGCAAACGGACCGGGTAGTGCGGCGCGGTGTGAATGGGTCCTGGCCCGCTTTGACTCCTCTTAGTCCCTCGAACTCCTTGAGAAGAGGTGGTGCAAGTTTCTTGAGAAGGCCCGCACAGAAGGCTTTGATGTTACCCAACGCCACAATTTCCTTGGCGGAGAGGTGTCCCTCTTGGTGCCGCGTTGCCACCACACAAGCCATAGCCAGAGCGTCGTTAGCGCCATGCAGCGGCTCCTGCATGCACGCGCTAGGCGTAATCACATCAGCGCACCCCATCCCCTGTGGCGTGGGTCCGCAGTCCGACGAACCACCTCCCCTTCCTCTGTCGTTGGCCGCAACAAATCTGTCACCGGGGCCCACCCGTCTGCTGCATTGTCAGCCAGCAACGCCACATGGGAACAGTTCACAGATTCCACCTCGGGTTCCGTTGCCTGCTGGTCTGAGGCGGCCCCCACCGGCCGGTCCAGCAAACCCGCGTCCACACGCGCCGCGCCAGAGCAAGCCTGATTTGGATCCACCAATGTTGCATCCTCCAGAGCCTTATCTATTCCTCCGGGATCCGCAGAGGGCCCAAAATCAATCATTAGCTGCAATCCTCCATTAGTGGCCGCGCGACCCCTAGACTCTCCTTGGTCAAAAGCCGTTTCAAATGACCCAATCGGAACCCGCTGCACCAAATCAGCCACCGCAGCCTCGGACGTAGGCATGGCCCCACAGCTCCGACCCGGATCTTCTGTGGCCAGCCTCGTCGCTGGAGGCATACGAACGGCTGTATCTTCAACCTCCCGCTGCGCTGCTGGCGGCACACACGCAGCAATTTCCTCAACCTCCCGTCTCGCTCCCGACGCCGTAGTCCCGGTGGCGATCGCCGGTGCGCGCACCGTCACCGCCGAGCCGCGCGCCATCGGCGGGATTCTCCATTCAGACGGCCCGATGCGCCCCGTCAGCGCATGGAGATAGGAACCTCCATGCACTCCGCTTGCCGGCGCCCCACCGCGGTGATCACGAACTCCCCTTGTCCACGGCAAAACACGCCACTCACCCCGGCCGGAGAAGTCCTCGGAGTCGTCCGGCATCCCGCTTTGGCCACTCCCATCAGAACTCGGCGGCCGCAGCCAGCGCTCCGGCCCCTCATGATCTCGCATCCGCCCTATGTGAATGAGCGTCTTGTACTCTAGCAAGGCACGCGACGTGGGTCGCCGCGCCGCCGGTCCTCCAAACACCTCCGGCTCCGGCACCCAGATACGCTTGGCCACCGGCACCTCGTCCGGGTCGATGCACCATGCCCGAAGCTTGAAGAGGGACAAGTCCTCTCTATTCTCTGTCTCCGGCGCTAAGCTCTCCACCAGACATGACGTGCCAAGAATCTCCGCCGCCATCTCAGTCGTCCACGTATGAGAAGGAATCCCCTCAATCATAATGTCCACTTGAGTG